TTCTAAAAAGCTATGTGCAGGCAAACCAATAAATTAGAGTAAATGTCAACATCAAAATCAAATTAAAAGAAAGATTAAAATAAGAAGAAATTTCATGAATTAGAACAGTTTTATCCTAGCCTACCCAAACAAGATCTTAATGCTAAAAAATGAGAAATTGATAAACTTAATATATGAAATCAGACTATCACTTTTCTTACAGAAGTTTAGCTGATATCAAGAAGGAAGAAAGTCAATAGAGTCCAAAAACATCTCAGTCAACAAACACTTGTTCTCTTTGACAAGCAGAGAGACAGAATAGCCAAATGCCACTAAATTAGTGTAGTCATAAAACATTAGAAAGAACAGAAGATTTTACAAGCAGTATCATCTCACAAAACAACAACAACAAAAAAGTGGAGTGTTATAAGGAATACTGATCCTCTAGTAATTTAGGTTCAATACTGCAATGAAGTGGAAATACTCATATAAAATTTGACAGTTAACAAATATGTACTTAGCCATAGCAGCAAAAAGATATGTTCTACCTCTGTCCTACCTGTGCCAGCCTTGTCCATCAAACCTCAGGGCCCAGTTAGATCCTCATGTTTTCTTGTACCCCAGGAGACCAGGAAGGCAAATCAACATGATGAGCCAATTAAATCTCAAGGATAGCTGCAATACCTTCTAAGAAAAAAACTAGCCTAATCTGCATGGGACAGAGCCTTAGAATAATCCTCCCACCACAAGTAAAAAAATGAGTCTGAGAAATAATTAAGGGAAATCATCCCAGGAAGGTTTATACTTAGAATTAGAGTGAAAGTAAATAAATAGCACAGATAAGATACATCAGCATTTCTATAATTATCAATTCTTATTATTGATCTCTGCCATATTTGGATTTTAAAACCCCAGAACATGATATGGCACGTAAGGAAGGAGATGCACCAAGGATCATGCACTGAGAGCTCAAAAGTACCTTCAATGTCTAGACCAACCCCCTTATTTGTCATATGAGGAAACTGAGGCCTAAAAATTAACATTGCTCAATGTTACACAGTTGGTAAGTGGCAGAGGTAGAATTTTAATCCAGGTGTTTTCACTCCAAATCCAGTACTTAAGAAGATGAAATTGGGACAACCAGCTCAAGTACACACAAAAGGATTCTGCACTATAGGTAGGAAAGCTAGAAGGCCAGTTGTTACTGGAAGCTCTGCCTGATTTCCTGGAACCATTTTCAAAGTTTGCTCCAAATTGCTTCTTTCTATGACTATTATAAGATATAATAATACTGATTAACTTTGAAAGAGAGTCATTAATGGCAATTAATAAAATAATTCTAAATCATTTTGTACATATAAATACTTTAGTACAATAATATATCCATCACGTTGACATAGGCCATCTTTCCACTGGTATAGGTTATACCAAATCTATGTCTTATGTTGTACATATCCTCCCATAAGTCCTTCATAGATCAAGTTGCCATGCTTAAAGCCATCCTCAAGGCATTTTTCTATCTTATGATACAAGTATAGCACACAATTTATCTATTGGTTATTCCTTGCTCTCTATATCATAATCAGCTTACCCCTTTTTCTAGTCATACATTTCTGGGAGGGGATCCCTTGCTTACATGAAAATCATTATTCCTAACATGCTACAACTTATGCCTACCAATCTGACAGTTTTAAAAGCACTATCAAGATATATTGAAGAAGATGCCAAATAATGAAATTATAATTTCCAAAAATAAAGTGATTGAAAGTATATTACTTACTATTTGTCTGTGTGACAATTTTCTCATCTTTATATGATTATGAAAATGGCCTACACACATATTTAGGCTATCCTTGATAAAAATGCATGCCTGTTATCAGGCTGTCTGGGATGATTTTCTGTGACAGACCACATCTTCATATATTTGTGACTGAAAAGTATGTAGCATACAAGATCCTACTGTGTTTACTATTTGTTAATTACAAAACATATTTGACTCAGAAGAGCAAAACATATCTGTAAAGGCTCATCTCCAACAAGCTTTCTACCATGCTTATGTTAGCATATTATAAAACATTACTTGAAAGAAGTAACTGCAGAGCTAACTGGTTTTTTAAATTATCATTTATCAATATCAATAAAGATATAAAATAAGTAGAAACACACTTACCCAATATTTGCCATTGCCATGTCCTACTCATAATCTAACAGAAGAATTCTGTAAAAAAAAGAAAAAGAAAAAGAAGACTGAAAAGAAGAAGCAAACCTATCCACAATTGTCATTGATTCTTACAAGCCAATAGCTGTGATCAAGACACCTGGTCTAATTTTATATACTAAGAAAACACAAATTATCTCGCACTTTGTGAATTGTGGGTTTGGGTAGAAAATACTGTCTTCTACTTCAATTAATCTAATTTCATGGCAAATTGAATCATCATATCTAAAGGAGTACTACAAAGTTATATAAGAGTAACAATCTAAACTATAGATTTGTTAAAAGACAGAATAATACATTTTCATAGTAAAATTATTTTCATAGGTTGCCATAGCACAGAAGATGCTTTATTATCTTTCAAGATGTGGAATCTAGCAGTTATAATAATACCAACTTTGGCAAAAAGACATAAAAATTATTTCTCTGATACTTCGAAAGTGGTGATACTCTGTCTTGAAACCTAGAATGAACAAGTAGAAACATTTCATTAATATCTACTCACTCATATTTTCCTGATTTATCCTAAAACAATAACAAGGAAAATTATAGAGCAAATGCTTTCCCCTTTTGCTCTAAGGCTACTACCATAACCTTCTAGTTGGCCTCTCTGCCTCAGGTCTCTCCCCTCTTTAGTCCCTTTGCCACTCAGTTATCAAAGTGATCTTCCTAAAATATAGGTCTGACTATATCACATCACCCCTCCATAACTCTTTTCTTCAAATCCCTGTTCATATATTTCCAGTCTTCTTAGACTTTATTCCCTTACACATATTGTATGATCCAATGATCCTGGGCTACTTGCACGAGATACTCCATCTCCCAACCATTCATTTTCACAAGCTGTCCCTCATATCTGAAATTCTCATTCTCTTCATATGCACTTCCTGACTTGCCTGGCTTCTTTTAAGTGTCAGCTAAAATCTCTCCTTCTGCAATAAGCCTTTCTTGGTCCCCCTTAATGTTAGTGCTTTCCCTCAGAATACTTCCAACTTGTTTCTACATAGTTTTTTTTTTTCATATCATGTCCCCCATTAGATTGTGAACTCCTGTGTGTAGGGACTGTTTTTCTTTGTTTCTTTCTTTGTATCCTCAGCACTTAACACTTATGTCTATCACATAGTAGGGATTTAACAAATGTTTTTTGATGACTTGACTTCATGTTAATTTTTAGAATACTTTCATTTCCCATATTTGCCTATCTATAACAACTGCTTCTGAATTAATCATTGTCACCTGGCCCAATGTTATTACCTTATAACCACACACCAAACAATGATAATTTACATTCAAGTTTAAACAGGAAATATAGGAGCAACCATTTTGCAATTCATAGGCTTGTAGAATTAGACTTGTAAACCTCAGACATAGGTCACATAGTCCAAATTCCACCTGAGGAAGCAGGAGCCCAGGGAGTTTAGGACTTGCTCCACACAAGTACTAAAAGGTAGAACCAAATTTGGATCAAATTCTTGTGGATGAGGTCTTTCCACCAGGATTGCCTAAGGATTCCTAGAGGTTGTAACCAGCTTAGGTTCTACACAGAAAGTGACAGAGCTCAAATTATATTCAAGTCCCATGGATCCAGGTTTAGAGGCTTTTTCTACAAAAGTTGCTTAGGGGCATTGAGAAATTAAATGACTTGCCCACCATTACTCAACCAGTAGGTGTCAAAGACTTTGAACCTAGGACTTCTGTACTCCAACTGGCTCTTTATCCAGTATACCATGATAAGTCACACTACTGCTATCTGAGTTCTCCGACTACTGCCACTGACAATACCTAACATTCACAATTTAGTAAAATGAAGAAAGAGCACAAAGGAGGAGTTGGATTCTTCAATGGTCAGGTACATGTCCATCCTTTGACAAGGTTAAAATGCCCAATTTGTGTCTGATTCTTTTTCATCCTCCCCCTTCCACCTCTGCCATTCTAGTCCTTCTGTCTTCAATTTTTATACTCTTTTGCTGAAAACTATTTCCAGTGGGGAACAGAGAGCATGGACAATATCTGTCTCGTTTTCTCGTCTGTAAAAATGAGGATTATTTTTTATTACTATATAGGAGCACCTACCTCCCAGGTTGTTGTGAGCATAAAATACTTGTAAAACGCTTTGTTAAAGTGCTACATAAATGAAATTTGTTATGATTATTATTATTATTCGGGCAACTAGGTGACACAGTGGATAGTGCTGACCCTGGAATCTGGAAGACTCATCTTCGTGAGTTCAAATCTGGCCTCAGACACTTCCTAGCTGTGTGACCCTGGGCAAGTCACTTAACCCTGTTTGCCTCAGTTTCCTCATCTGTCAAATGAGCTGGAGAAGGAAACGGCAAACTATCCCAGTATCTTTGCCAAGAAAACCCCAAATGGGGTCACGAAGAGTCGGACACGACAAAACAACATTATTATTATCATAAAATAATAATACTCTTATAGACTAAGGGAGGTCGGTCCTTGCCCCCAGGTGAGCCTTGGAAAGTGTTCTCCCAAAGAAACCCCCACCTCGTGCTAATCTCGGTTCACCCTAAACCAAAGGTGGGAGCGGGTTGGACAGCTCCCTGACCATCAAGCAGGAACGAGCTCCTCAAGCGCTTTGTCGTCACTTCCGCTTCCGGGGAGGACGTGCCGAAACCGCCCCCACCTCCCGAGCTCTGACGGGTGGGTGTGACTAAAGGGGAGGAAGTGGCGGAGGAGAACTTCCGGCCCTGAGGAAACTCGGCTCGATGGCTGGGCTGACAGTCGCCGGATCCCGTGCAGAAGTGCCCGGTGCCTTCCATCGTCCTTCCGCTCCTCCTCCCTCTCCTCCTTCCTTGTTTTACTCCTTCTCTTTCTTCTTTTTCTCTTCCTCCTTCTTCTCCTCCACTTCACCACCGCTGCCTCAGCCCGAGCCTTCCCAGCCTCCCCAGTCCCCATGTTTCGGGGCGGGAGGCCTGGAACCAAAAACCGATCGCGGCACTTCATCATGTACAAACTGACGAAAGAGCTGGTGGAGCTGGTGTGGGGCCCCAAGACCAGCCCCGGCCTCTCCGACACCATCTTCTGCCGCTGGACTCAAGGTACCGCGAGACCCGCGCCCTTCCCCCGGCTCCAGCGGGGCTCGTCGCCCCCCGGCCTGGGCTCTCGGCCGCCACCCCTCTGGCGCGGGCGTGCAGGTGCTGGCCCTGGGGGACCCGACCCGACCCCACCCCACCCGGGGCGGGGAGGTAGCAGCTGATCTGCCGGTGCCGAGAGGGCGGTGGTGTGGGCTGGCTACGGGAGCGCTGCTCAATTAACCTGGAGTCCGGGAACTGAAAAAAAAAAAAAACTTTATGTCAATGTAATTGGTTGCCTTTGTAAGCCTACTCGTGTGGTGCATTTAATCAAGTGAACAAGCAGTAGCTAACCATTTGCTACGTGTCAGGCACCTTGTTAAGCCCTGGAATACAAAGAAAGACAAATCAAACCAAACGTCCCTGCTCTCAAGGAGCTCCTGCTGTAATGGAAAAACATTCCGAAAAGGGTCTGTAGACTTCATCAGACGGCATATCAGACTGGCATGATACAGAAAGGGGAAAAACCCCAGGTCTACACTTGCCGTGTATGTCACTTTCCTATAAAAAAGGTCGACTTAGTTGGATTGTTCTAGGCTAAGGTTCTGGAACCTCTTGTCGACACTCCATCCACGTCAGTTTCCAATTTTAAAAAATTGACCTTGTTGGATTGTTTTAGGCTACGATTAAGAACTTCTTGTCAGCACATTGTGTCCAGGCTAGTTTCCTATAAAAATGAATGACTTAGTTGGATTGTTTCAGCCTAAGCTTAAGAACCCCGTGACTACAGCTTAAGTCTTCATCAATTTCCTGTAAAGGTTGACTTAGTTGGATTATTCTAGGCTTAGGTTAAGATTCTCTTGTCAACACTTTTCGTTCACACCAGTTTCCTACGGAAAAAAAGTGACTTAGTTCGACTGTTTTAGGCTAAGGTTAAGAACCTCCCTTCTCCACACTTTTCACCTCATCAGTTCCCACTTCAAAAAGGGGGGGGGGTAACTTAGTTGGATTGTTTTGAGCTTAGGTTAAGAACCTTTTGTCTGTATTTTGTGTTCACACCAGTTTCCTATAAAAATGAGTGACTTCTTTGGAATGTTTTAGGCTAAGGTTAATAGAAACTTCTAGTCTACACTTTGTGTCCTTATCAATTTCAGTAAATAAACAAATGACTTATTCTAGGCTGAGGTTACTACGAAGCCTTGTTCTACACTTTGTTGTCCATGTCAGCTTCCTCTATATGGTGACTTAGACAGTTTTAAGCTAGATTTGACCTGTTGTGTTAAGGGAAGAGGGACATAAGAGAAGGTGGTTGGGTGGTCCGAGGAAGCTGTTTTATTACAGCTTGCCTGTTGTAATTGTTAGTGGGTGTGTCACCAGTGTTCAAGGCGTGGTACAGGATATAGAACTGCAGTAAAACATTGCCTGCAAAATTTAGATGAGAGGGTAAGACTGATTCTTGTGGCCCATTATATCTCTGTTATGAAGCAGTGGGGAGTTTTATCTTCAGAGTCCAAGGGAGCCTTGACACCAAGCAGCAGCCCCAGTACTGAGATAATTTTGTCAGAGCACATTTGGAATTGTATTTCTTGGGATGAGGCAGAGAACAGGCAGGAGGAGAGTATCCAGGAGGGAGAGGGATGGTAAGTGGTGTCAAAATCTGTCAAAATGAGGACTAAGAAAAGGCTCGGATCTAGCAAGTATGACATTGTTGATAACCTTATAATGACCAGTTTCATTTGAGTGGTGAATGAGAAATCAGATTTTAAGAAGCTGACAAATGAGAATTGAAGTGGAAGCAACTAGCATAGAAGTATTTTTCTAAGAGCTAAAAAAGAGTCATGTGCTCTGCACAAAAAATCAGATCATTTTTACCATCCTTCTTTCCATCTAGAAATTTTGAAACATTGAAGAAGGATACTGTCTGATACTGTTAGAGAGGAAGGAAGACAAGGAGGAAGAAAAAATTAAGAAAAGAAAAGGGAGAAAGAGAGAAAAAAAGAAAGGTCAGTGACCCACAGGAACTATGGGGTCTTAAAGTACAAAGTGTAAAGTAACTTTTATAAGTCACTGAATTAAAAAGAGCCAAAGACATCAAGATCACAAAAGGATTTTGCAAGTTATGGAAAGAACAAATTATAATACATTTAAATCAGGTTGCTTTTATTATGTTCATTATTTTTCAATAAAGAACAGTCACAGACACAGACTTACTTTCATTTCAATTCTATTCTTCATGACTTTAAGAAACTGGGGATTATTAATATTGAGAAAAACCATAAAATATGTTCAATGACCTACTTTAGTCATTGGACATTTGGACATCTCTGCTAGGGATGGCCATCAAGGGAACAAAAACAGGGATAAATAAAATTGTTTAAATTCACTGAAAGCTTAAACTCTGCCTACCTGGCTACTTAAACGATGTTTGCTTGCTATAAAGTAACAAAAGGAAGATGTGGAATTTCCTTAGTACATGGTAACATTGAGCTGATTGGGCTAAGGAGGCGAAAATATAAGCCATATATGTATCATATAAAATAAGAAGACTTGAAAAACCAAGCACATATATAACCGAATGTTATTTTCTTTTTCTTTTTTTTTCTTTTGGTGAGGCAATTGGGGTTAAGTGACTTGCCTAGGGTCACACAGCTAGTATCATGTATCTGAGGCCAGATTTGAATTCAGGTCCTCCTTACTCCAGGGCTGGTGCTCTATTCACTGTGCCACTTAGCTGCCCCTGAAACTATATTTCATAGTTCATATGAATATATTTCATATATTCATCCTATACATTTATTATGATAATACTCCTCCCTCACTTTCCCCACTGCCCAACTTTGGGAAATTTAAAAATTGATGACTCCAGAGCTAGTTTATCAGCTATATATGAAATCTCATTGTAGGCACAAATGAATGTCTAGCAACCGCCAATTTCAAGAGAGACCCAAAATGTTCTCAGGAATTTCAGTATCATTAGGATCATAAAATTCTAGATTGGGAGCTGGAAAAGTCTTCTAAAAGACCGTCTTACTGATCTCCTTGATTCAAATCTCTCCTCTCTCCACCCATTCTCCACACAGCTGCCAAAATGATTTTTCCAAAGTATAAGTCTGACCATGTAACTCTCCTACCCAATAAATTCCAAAAGCCTCTATTGTCTCTCATGGTTTAGAGTGATGGCAGTATCAGAGGAGAGAAGGGGTGTATTTGAAAAATGTTATGAAAGTAAAAATGACAGACCTTGGCAAGAGATTGGATATAGTGTATATGTGTGTATGTGTGTGTGTGTGTGTGTGTGTGTGTGTGAGAGAGAGAGAGAGAGAGAAACAGTGAGGAGTCAAGAATGAAACCTAGCTTGTGAGCCTGAGGGACTAGGAGGATGGTGTTGCCCTCTACAGTAATAAGGAAGTTAGGTGAAGGAAAATGTTTAGGGGAGGAAATAATGAATTCAGTTTTAGGCATTTTGAATGTAAGATATCTACTGGACATGCAGGATATACTGTTTGAGATATCTCAAAGGCAGTTGTAAGATTGGAGGGTAACGGAGAGATTGGGGCAGGATAGGTAGATTTGAAAATCATTATTGGGATGGTAATTAATGCTAAAAATCAGCACTGAAATGGTAATTAAACCCATGGAAGCTGATCAGATCACCAAATGAAGTAGTATACAGGGAGAAGAGAAAAGGGCTCAGGATAAAACCCTAAGGGACACCTATGGTTAGAGGGCATGACCCGAATGAGGATATAGCAAAGGAGAATGAAGAGGGGTCAGATAAGGGGAGAACCAGGAGAGAGAGATATCCTGAAAACCTCAAGAGAAGAGAGTATCAAGAATAGGAGGGTGATCAAATGCAGAGAGGTCAAGAAAAATGAGGACTGAGAAAAAGTCATTGGATTTGGCAACCAAGAAGTGAGACATAAGAACAGTGGTCTCCAGGAACTCTGGGATAAAGCCCTAGTCATCCTGATCATGACTCCAACCTTGGGTCTGCTGTCAGTTTTCCTCCTTCTTTCTTCCTACTCTTATCTTCCAACTTCCTCCCCATTCTCTTGTAACATTTGCCCCTTCTACTTAAAAGTCTGAAAAAAATGAATCAACTGAGATTAGTTTAGGTATATAATGAGTCAGAGGCAGAAATTCAGAAGAGATAAAACTAAAAGGTCTTGGATTAGAAGAAAGGAATCAGATCAGTAGTACAGCTCCTCCAAAATGGATTCAGGAATGGACTTGGGCTGGAACTAGACTTACTGGGAAGATAAACTGCAAGTGGGATGAAATGAACCAGAGTAAAAAAACTGATACAACTCAAACTGGGATTTACCAATGGAAAGATTCATGGGTTGATGTCATTTCCAGGGCATTCATGTTGTCAAGATATTAGGAGACACTATTTTCCTGAGCTAAGGTCCAGCAAACAGGTTGTGCCTTGAGTTTAGCATAACAGCAATTCTTTTGCACTTACCTTCTGGATGATCTTACCTTCTGCCAAAATCACATAATTATTGTATTGCTTTGACCAATACCAGGTGTTTTTTGAGCTCAGACAAGTTCTGGTCATGAAGTCCTGCTATGTATCAAACTTGTCTCATTGTTGCTGATACCCCTCAATGTTACAGCTACAGCTCACTGTGAAGTCATTGGTATAAGTACTGAGATCTCTCCACATTGCCTCAGATTCCCTTTCTCCTCACCTTAACCTCGCTCCCCCGTGGGGGGCAGGGTTCCTTCACTTGTATCTTTGTTTGCAAACTGTTTCACTCACTTTGAAATTAAACTTCTGCTTGATTCCTGACCCTCCGGTCTCTAGCCTGCTCTATTCAGCTCTGGCCATTTACAGGTTAGAGGAAGGTTCTGGTCTGGTTGACATTAAATTGGTGTCAGGAGTGGGACTGGACATGGAACCAGGTCATTGGACTCTCTGGTACTGGTGAAAATGGACTAGGTGCCTCCAGAGATTTATTTCTTCAGTGTGACACCCCCCCCCATTTTGTGTGGTGAGTCCTGTGCCCTTCTCCCTACTCTAATACCTTGAACTCCTTCATATGTCAAATGTCATATTAAACTATATGTCTGACACCCCAGAATATGGGCAATTTCAATTTATAAGTAAAGGATAAATGAAATGTTAACTATTAGGGAAACATCAGGAAAGACATTTAAGCCCTAAATTTTGGTTAGTGAAATTTTGCTATTTATGGTAAAAATTCCTGGGACTATAATTCACTATTGTTTTGAGCTTTTGATTACAGGGATAG